GTACTGCATGTGTCTACTTAATTCCTTACTTTGCATGTCAGTGAGCCTTTTGGACAGGGATAGTCTGACTTTGTTTTCTTTTTTTATTCAAATCCATTATTTACGATGCTTTTCTGCTTTACTGGAAACCTTTTTTCTTACAGTTGGGTTAATCTCATTTTGTAAGAGCCTGTTTTCTCCTTAACTATATCAGGACAAAACAAAGTCAAGAACAAAGCGGTGGGAGAAACTGAGGAGATGCTTTTTTATGTTTGTTAGCTTGAAAGTTGTTGTGTAGTCTGCTTTTCCTGGGCTTAATCTTCAGTCTGTGTTAATACATTCAATCTTGTCATGTTTTGAGAGAGAGAATAGAAATGAGGTGAATGTAAAGAAGTTGTTTCTTCTCAGGCATCTCCCAGCGTTTTGGCATCCTGAAATAATCAGTGATGGCTACTGTGGCTCTTCTGGAACAGAAACACGCATTTTTGGCATTTCAGGATGAGGCAATGATGAAGGAAAGAGAACCCCCTTTTTGGGCTTGTGAAAGTTCTCAAATGTGTTTTATATCAAAAAGCTGCAAGTTAGGTTGAATGTACTAAATGAATAAAATGTAGAAATTTAAGGAGTTTTTTTCTCTTTGCAGGAATGTTTAGAATTTCATGGTGTGTTTCGTGGACCAGCTTGTGGCCGTCACGGACCATATATTCCAGATGTCCTCTTCTGGTCTGTTATATTGTTTTTTACAACATTTTTCCTCTCCTCTTTCCTTAAGCAATTCAAGACCAAACGCTATTTCCCAACTAAGGTAATTCTGATTAAAGACTACTGTTATCTTGTCATAAATACATTAGTATAACTTAAGAGTTGAATTTTCTGTTTTGCTTCGGAACTTTGTATTGTGGGATTTGTTTTAAGACAGAAAAAGAAATTAAAACCAGAAAATTAGCTAATAATTCAAAAAATAAAGACATGAGAGGAAAGAAATGGGCTGCAGAAAATTCAGTGCTTACTCTCTACTTTCCTATAGTTACAACAAGATGTTCCAAACATTAGAAGGCCTAAGCAGTCCATCTCCCTGTATTAATGGGTATTGCCAGGTGTCATTTGGAGAGATGCTGCTGCTGCTGTTTTCCTCACCTAACTATACAGAACACTTGATTGCTTTCTCCAAGCTGCTGATGTATGAAGGGTGCCAAGTGGTTTCTCGGGGATTACTGTTTCTAATAGAGGCTAATATAATGATTATCCTTTGACTGATTTACACAACTTACTTCTGCTGGCCAAATAAAGCGCTTAGATCTTCTATAAACCTCAGCTCATCCCTACAATGTGTTCCTAATGTTTAATAAAGTCACCTTTGATAACCTGAATCTGTTGCAAATTATCCCCCTCCTCTCTATTAAAACATCGAATGTATGAATATTGATTTCGGGACAATTCAGTGATGTTACTGAATTAAGCTACAAGAGACTAGCTGTGATGGCCCAGCCTCCTAGTAGGACGATGAGGAAGGAGTTATTTTAAGTAATTTGCATCTTGCAGTAGATCGCTTTTAAACGAGCTAATCGGATGAACAGTTGTACAGAATACTTACCTTCTGCTACTTCGGGCTACGCTGGCAGGAAGCTTAAAGTCTGAAATAAAAAGAGAAAATATATGTGATGTTCAGTGGTGTAGTATAATATAAATAGACTTCACCATTCGTACGGGAGAAAATTGTCTTTCTGTATACGTAAATTATGATAAAGATAAAGCAAAAGTTAACACAAGTGTTTTCTTTATAGGTGCGTTCTACCATCAGTGACTTTGCAGTATTTCTGACCATAGTAATCATGGTTTTGATTGACTATCTTGTAGGAGTACCCTCTCCTAAGCTTCATGTTCCAGAGAAATTTGAAGTAAGAAAGAAAACCGTTTAAAAAAATTAACTTTCTAAGTGCTTGCAGTTTCATGGACAGTAAAACAATCAAATTATATGGAAACAGAATTTTATCTTCTTTACTTACAATGTAGTTGAAGAAGTAATCTCTCTTTTCTGTTTTGAGTGTGTTTCTTATGTGACAGAAGAGACTATGCTTTATAATGTAATATCACTGAAAAGGAAGCGTTCTTCTGTGCAAGTGTGCAAAAATGAAGGAATGGAATGGATTTATTTTAATTTTTTCCATATAAATGTCACATTCCCATGTAACATGGTCAAAGGCATTGGAAAAAAATCTAAACACATATTTAAGAGACTGTTGATGTGTTTATTGCAGCTGTTTGTAGCAATAAAAATCTGCATTTTATTTTAGTCATTTAATTCTTATTGTTGATGTTGGTTTTTTCAGCCCACCCGAAAAGACCGGGGATGGTTCATAGATCCTCTTGGAGGCAATCCTTGGTGGACACTCTTGATAGCTGCTATTCCTGCTTTACTCTGTACCATTCTCATTTTCATGGATCAACAAATAACAGCTGTTATTATAAACAGGAAGGAGCATAAACTGAAGGTAAAAATCATTTTCATAAAACTCTAATCTTGTGTAAGTCAAGTTTATTTTAAATTGGATTCATTCTGCAAGTCTGTGAAACATTATCAACAGCTACTAAATAAATGTATATATTGACTAATAAAGAACAAATATAATTTTGTGGACACTCTCAAAGTATCTAATTTTTGTGGTTACCTGTTATTTACCAGCTAAGTTACAAATATGGTATCATATGAATGGAAAGTTTATCAAATGATTTGTTTGCTTAATTTTGCAGAAAGGCTGTGGTTATCATCTTGATCTGCTCATGGTTGGTGTTATGTTGGGGATATGCTCTATCATGGGCTTACCGTGGTTTGTAGCTGCAACTGTCCTGTCTATAAGTCATGTTAACAGCCTGAAAGTTGAATCTGAATGCTCAGCACCAGGAGAGCAACCAAAGTTTTTGGGAATCCGGGAGCAGCGAGTGACAGGATTGATGATTTTTGTCCTGATGGGGCTGTCAGTATTCATGACCTCTGTGTTAAAGGTAAAAGACAGTATTTCCAAAATATTTGTATTTTTTTTGTGCTTTTGATTTTGATATTGTGATTTAGCATTTCATAATGTTAGGAAGTTTTATTATGTTAAGTAAAATACACCTGAACTCATTCTCAAATTGCTTTTTTAACAGCAGATGTTATTTGAATAGAAGTGATGGGGGGAGATGTAAGAAAATGAAATCTGAGCAAGCTAGAAACGTAGTGAGTAGTGAAGAAAGCAACCTTTGTCCATGTTACCTGATTTTCTTGCCAGCTATTTTTTGGTGTCTTGAGTCCATGTTACCTTAAATAGTTCTTCTGTAGGTTTTTATACGAGTGCAGAAAGGGAGAGAGAAAAGGAGTGTAATAATGATACAAAGTTACTTGAGCAGAAGTAATATAATATAGCAGAAGAAACAGAGACATCTGGTTTTAAAAAGTGGTCGTCAGAAATGACATTGTTCACTTCTCATTCTTATCTTCAGCTTATTAAACTTCCTTTGATGTTCAAAGAGTCAGGAGTATCTTATGCATCATCACAGTGTAATGGAGATTTTGCAGGTCGTATGGTGGCCTCAGTTTACACTTTGTCAATTTATATCCATCGTGCCTTTCTGAAGGCTATTGGAAGAAAACCAATCTTTTTGCTCAGATTTGAGTAAAATCCGTTCAACTCCTGCTTTGTTGTTTCAATTCCAATGGTTAAAAGGAGAAATGAAAAAACGGCCTTTTTACTGCCAAAATAGCAGATATGACATAAATTGCATGATTGCTAATACCTTTAAAGACTTTTGTAAAAGTCTGCTTAAAGACAGATCTCAAGTAGTTTCACAAAAAGCTAGCTTCTAGTGCCTGTTTAAGTTTAGATAATGGGAAGAAATAAACCTGTGAACACAGAGCTATAGTTTAGTAATTAGTTACATATTACAGATTCTTAATAGTTGACCATTTGTGTGTGTTAAAGAATGTAAAGGTCTGAAAACAATGAGGCAGTAGCAGTTATTAAAAATGAGTGTTCAGATTTGACATTCTCTGGTTGAAAAGCTACCAAGAGCTCAGCTGAATAATGCAAATGATCAGAATCAAAAGCAGAAACGATGAAATAGATCTGTTGTTGCTCAAAAGCAACAGATAAAGGTGCTGATTGCTGAAGCTAGTTTACCCCATGTTTTAATAACAGATTCTTAGAAACTAATACTTTTATTTTTTTATGGAACCAAGGGTAGTAGGAATGGAATTATTAGTTTGCTCTCTATGAAATATTCTTCTTTTTCAGTGTGAGTGGCTGTTATTGTTCAAAAGAAGGAAGGAGAACAAAGCCTTGCGTCTATAGGTTGCCGTGTTTTTGTTCCGTATATGGATTTACACCGATTTAACGCAGTAGAAGTTAACATAAATGAAGTACTAGTGTGTCAAATCATAGAGCTGACAGTGAAGAGACTAGCTTTCATATACACGCACACGCAGTAATGAATCCCTAAGGTGTAGCTTTATTCCACACTATTCAAGTTTCAGTAAAGGCTTTTGTTCAGGCTTGATAGCTGCAGTGTTTATTAAGTTTTTGAATTGTATCTTGGCTGTCCTTTACTCGGAAGTTTCAGGAATTCAGGAGCAAAGAAAGCTTCGCTTGCTTTGTGTAGGCCACGAAGTTTTGACGCAAGTGCCGCAGAAATCAGTAGACAACTTCATTATCTTAGTAAGCTTTAAATTGATCTTCTTATTGGAGCAAAATTTACCCTTGAATAATTAGCAGATTTTCGTAGATTGATGGGTATGGTGGCTTTTTTGTTTCATCTGCTCCAGAAATGCAAGATTTGTGATCAAAAGTAAAACTTCATATGGCAATTTCATGAAGTTGATGGTCTCACTGCAGTTCCTATCACATAGCAACATAAAGCAGCACACTTAGCATTAGTGGAAGTCTTGGTTGCAACATAGAAAATTGAATGAATGGGCAGTCAAGACGGAACTACTTTTTAAATCCTGGTGATAGCTTTGTTAGCTCTAGACTTTTTTGCTGCTCAGCAATGCATGTACGCTCTCTATAAATAGCGAGCCTCGGCTTTTACAGATTTCACAAGTAAAATATGAAGTAAAAAATAACTTGGTCCGTGTCTTTCACTAAGATGGACTGCTGTGTTATGCCATGTTGATTCCACAAATAACTGTGCGGATTTTTTTTTCCTCCCCAGTTTATTCCAATGCCAGTTTTGTATGGTGTCTTTCTTTACATGGGAGTATCTTCATTAAAAGGCATTCAGGTAAAGTCTGATTTTAATGAGCAATTTGCTTTTGTTTAACACTAAATGAAAAGGAAACTGTAACACATTACTTTGTGAGCAACAAAGTTAGCCCATATTGTCTGAATAGTATGTAGGATAATTTCCTGAGTGTCTTGTTCAGATATTTGTTCTTACTGTCTTGTGCCTTCACTTCTCGGTCTTTTTGCAGTTATTCTTCCAGTAGTTTAGCTGAGCAACAATTTTTTCAAATATTCTGAAATTTTGTAGGAGTAAGCAGGGGGGGAACCTCAGTAAAACAAAAACACTCCAAGTGCCACACCCTTGAATGTTCAGTGTCCTTCATTAGTATTTTATTTGGAATGAATTTCTGTTTCTGGAGTCCCTAAAAATGTTTATTTCCTTCCGGAGGGGAAGAAAATAATTAACTGAAGGATGATTTTATTTTTCAATGCAGTTTTTTGACCGTATAAAACTGTTTGGAATGCCTGCCAAACATCAACCTGACCTGATTTATCTACGTTATGTGCCACTCTGGAAGGTCCATATCTTTACCGTTGTTCAACTCACTTGTCTAGTTCTGTTGTGGGTGATTAAAGCCTCTGCAGCTGCTGTTGTTTTCCCTATGATGGTAAGTTTTCTGTTTTACAAGTTAATAATTTTCCAAGAGTACGTACATCATCCAGGATATCTTCAGAATGTATTTGCTGCCTTAAGGGAGTGGGAAAGAAACAAAAGAACCTGTAGTGCAAGTTGTTCACTTTTGAAACACAAGGACTTTTCATTTCCTGAAAATGAGCAATTCAATTGTGAATAGCTATCGAAAGCAGAAATTATTTAACTTTGTGGTAAGATAAAACTAGTACTACAAAAAAGGGCTTCAGTTAAAAAATGCTGGATGTACTGAATGCACCATATACTGTGTGCATTTTTGTTCGTTTAAATAGTTTAATGTAAATGATTCCCTTTATGGTTCCCTTAAGGTTCTAGCGTTAGTGTTCATTCGCAAGCTCATGGATTTGTGTTTCACCAAAAGAGAGCTTAGCTGGCTTGACGATCTTATGCCAGAAAGTAAAAAGAAGAAAGAAGATGACAAAAAGAAAAAAGAGAAAGCAGTAAGTGTGAAAACAATCAAACTAAGCATGTTGTAAATTACTAGAAAATACTCAATGCGATTTAGAAGAATTTTAAGTGCCCTGAGCATATGACCTTATATTCTAAATATACATTTTGAAATTCTTTACTGATGAGATTTAATGCTGGAGGAGCTATTACTGGCAGTTAAGTTACAGAAAAGTCACTGTTTCAGTGATGCTATTATGAACTATGACTCTTATTTGTGATTAAAATTAACAAGCAAAGTGGAAAGAAGCAGTTTTTAGCAGACAATGTTTTCTTTGTCCTTCATCAGGTTAGGAGGAGAGAAAGAGAGGGAGAGAAAAGCAGTAGAGGAGAGATTTTTACCCCGCTTAAATTAATCACAAAACTGTTCATCATATCAAGGACGTTTTGCTTGTGTGCGTGTTTGCAGAGTTAAAACCGACTGCTAGTTACCAACAGTATTGTAATATAGCTTGTATAACTTCTCCATAAAAGTCTTACCTAACTGTACACCAGTGAGCTGAATTCCTTACAAAACTTGTAACGCCCTCCTTCCCCACTGCCCCATCCCCCCTACCTGCATGAAACGCTTATAAGAAAAAAGATCTTAAACTGTAAATCCTGCACTCAGCTCCAGTACGTACAGGGAGATGCACCTTACCCCTATGGCAATTAACTGTCAGCATGAGATCCTTTGGTTTCTGCCGCATGGGTAATTTTGTAAACTTTTTGCTTGGAATTTACAGGAAGCAGAGAGAATGCTTCAGACAGGGGACAATGAAAGTGTACGCCTTGCGTACGGAGAAGCAAATTTGCATTTTCCTGTAAAAACCCTAAAATACAGGTATAGTAAAATGTTGGTCTTTTAAGAGTTTTTGTATCGCGGGCTGTAATTTGCTTTATATAAAGTTGATTGTGTATCAGTTGAATTAAGTTTTTTCCCCCAAGCTTGTAACTCAGCCATGATGAGGAAGTATGAAGATGTATCTCATGGTGCTATAGTAGCATTTTTATGTTGCATTATTCTTTAAAACTGCATCTTAATTATAAATTTACATGACCGTCTTGAACAGATCAGATGACTCGATTTCGACCAGCTGTACTCAAGGTGAAGAAGCTTCCTTGGTCAGTTCTCGTGGAATACTTGCGTGTTATTGTGCATGAAATACTGAGTATTAAGCAACTAATAGCATCAGTTGAGCCGTGTGTTTACCAGCCACTTGGATTTTTCAGAAGAAGTCTAAGTGTGAAGTTCTCTGATGGTTTGAAATCTATAATTTCCGTGATAGAAAAAAAAAAAAAGCCCTTTAACAGGCAGCCATTTTTACTTTAAAAGGTCATTTTCTGAAAGTAAATGTGAGGACAGGGTTACTTCCAGAAAAGGGGGTGCTGGAATTTCACTGATGGAAAGTTCCTTCAGGACTGGAAGGCGTTTTGTCTCTGGATCTCCTTACTGGGAGTGTATTCAGCTTGGTTGTCAGGTATTCTACAACTGCCCCCAGAAGATGTGACAGATAAATAGCGTGCCAGCTTTTTTTGCCTAATACTAAGAGTTCCTGGGTTAAAAATTGCCTTTCCTATGGGTCTAGGGTAGTGTCAGGTCTACCCTGATCTGAGTTGGAAACAGGCATATTTTTTCAATTAGACAGATATTCCTACTGAGCACTACAGCAGGCTTCATCAGACTTTAGCAACTCAAATGAAAATGCTAAATGCCAAAGCTATTTTTAAAAATATTTGAGTTGCTGATTGCTCTCACAGTAGAACTATGCTTTCATCAACTGTGTGCCTGTGTGTTTACTATATATTTTCAGTCTTGCATCTTGTGGGGATTCCTGAGGAAAAGTGGCTTAGAAAGATTTCTGTGCAATTTGAAGAACTCTTACGGATACCCTGGGGTAGATCCTTGTCACCCGTTCAGGCTGGGCCGGCGCTTACAGCGGGT